GGATGCAGCTTCTATCCTATATCAAACTTATATCAAAAAAAAACCTATATCAAGCGTTTTTATCAAAAAAGAAAAACGTAGGTTTGTTCTTATGCTAGCTAAGTTTTCAACATCGTTGTTCACGTATATAATAATTTTCGTTGACTTTAATAAATTGTTACTAGCATAATACATTTGTATGCATGTGATCGCTATATGCATTCAATAAAATGAGTTTTAAGTTTTCCTGAACCCTACGAAGATGCCGAATAGAGCTCGTTCTCTCGAATCTAAGAACATCCAGATGGTGTTAATTAGAAATAGGATTAACTCTTATTGCTTCATGCTATTCCGCCGACGATCCACCTTTTCCACGGCATTATTCAATAGATGCAAAAAGCCAAACAGACACAAATCAATACAGATAAAATAGGAACCGTCATGAATCCACATGAAGATTCAGGATAATCGTGTACCATCTGTGACAGTTTTCCAACCGTTAAGCTGTATTTAGATAAATAAAAATGTATAACAAATATATTCCTCGTCGTCGTATTATCGATTTTTGTACTTAACGTTTGTACAAATGTTACGAATATGAACTTCTAATAAACATTTGACATGCCACTAATGCAAAGTTGAATTTTATTTCATCACAGTAACCTCTACTCGATTCCCATTAATAATCTGAATATTTTACAAAAAGCAGCAATTTGGTATTAAAAAAAAAAGAGAGCATGAGGCACACCCGCCTAAATTACAATCTTCATGTAGCGATCTTCGTAGTACCGATTTCGCTGTAGACATTATCGTACCTAAAATGCCGTGGGAAGATCGTACGTTAAACCTTGAAGCTAGCAAATTCTAAGGAAAGCAAATTTTAGGCCATGCAGCATCCAACCGATTGAACTAATGGTGCCAAGACAGGTAGTATTAGATTTAAATAATAGCTATATACGAGAAAATAACCTAGATGTTGTTATTGTCATAAATTGACTCTGTATCCTGTGAACGCACGCTTGGTCATTTCTGCATATCAGTTAAATATAAATATATTATGGGTGAGTTTTAAGCTCGAACTAGGTTTCATTCAGGCCTATTTTGCTACCATACTTTTTCTAGCATTTTCCTGGAGTACTAGGTAGTATATTTGAATTACATTTTCGAGCAATTACATAACGGACTAGACCTTCCAGCATACTGAATACCTCAATGGAGTTGTTTTAGACGCAAAGCATCTTCTAAGTTATTTTGTACAAAATACGAGTTTCGCAGTCTTTTATACATATAATAATAATAATAATAGTACCAAAAGCAAATATGCCATTAATAATAGATTATATATATATATATATATATAATTATTATTATTAAAAAATACATTAATAAATACAGAAAATTAATTTGAAAATATATTTGTTCTTACTTCTACATCAGTTCTATATGTAACAATACATAGATACATCAAACAGCTGACTTTCGGACGCAGATATTTCGAGCTCACTGTTCTTATGTTCTTCTAAGTAAGTTTGGTAAAATGACCAATGTAACGGTACAGTAGACGTTTTTGCTAACCGAGAGCTCAATTAAGAAACAGAATAACCCGCATAGGCTCGCACACCGTTTCGCAAAGTACCTTACATTCGTTAGACACGTTTAGGCCGAAATCGTGGCCATAAATTTGACATACAGCTTTTTCCACTATCCACACATAGCGTTATGTATGTTCAGAACGCGGAAGCAAATAATGATGAATTGAATAGTTCCATTAACAGTTTGAAAGACTCTTCTTTCAGGCTCCCACACAAAAGTGTTCCTTGTCATCGGTCTAATAGGTAGACAGATATAGACGAAGGGCTATTGCAGACTTTAATCACCAAATCAAATTGATCGCTACTTGATAATCAATTCCTGCTTGTTCGTCGCCATTTTTGGCCAGCACGTCAAACTGGGAGCAAGATAAATCGTCTCTCGACGTCTATATTCATACTATGTATACGAACAGTGCGATCTTCAGCTGGTACGGCGGTTATACAATACAGTCTTGTTCTGAAGGGTATAGCCTAATTTTTAGTTTACCGGACACATGCTATGATATAGCGTATCATCACATTAATGCCGTTCCTTTTCATATATAAACTAGTAATACATTACATTAAAAAACAATATTGCATGAGATGTGCTGGATTAATACCACGTAAAAGTCTACGTGGTCATCTTCACCCAGTTTATCCAAGACAGGGTAGTCATGGCGGACTGAATAATAGGAGATAGTTACCACTTTCGATGATGTTGGCTTATAATTTTGCCAGAGCTCTTTTCAAAATGGATACTCACCTGGTAGTAGTAGGTCTAGTAGTCGGTCGAGACTGGTCGAAATCGAGATATTAAATCAGCGTAGAGTTGCCGTGTCCAATGCGGCCTAATAGGCTTGTTTTTTTTCTCTCTTTGTGAATCCCAGTTATGTGGTACTAGAGTAGAGGTTTGATCAGGTAAAATCATAGTATACTTTCACATGAGTAATAGCTTGTTGCGTAAGTATATTATCAAACCAGGATAAAATAGTTAGAGTATATATACATCCAATTGTATGACTGACTCGGTCAATAGGACCAGTGACTACCGTGCCTATTTTAATTGATACAATAGTTGTCAAGTGGCGATGCACGTATCTGTGTCTTCATAGTACAATAACCATCCGTTATTGTGCTTAATCATTAATTAATTCCATATTCTTGTTAGCCTCTGCTCTTCAAAAAGAGGAAAACTTAGGTCTTATCTCGACTGGTGTTTTGCATATGCTTATTTTTTTATAGATATACTTGTTTTTTTTGTGCGAAGTATTCTGGCTAGCTTCTATCGCAAGATCACGAGAGTACATTCCCATGATTTTTCAGAAAGATATTGCTAAATATTATGTCTGCGCTCGTCGGAAGTCGAGATTATTTCGCTACTTTGCATTATCCTATGAACATAGTTATGCATGACAAAATATTAAAAAAATCAATTAAACGCGATCTATTTTGGCATTGTTGTCTTTTATTAGTTATTTCTAATGATTCTACTAGTTACCCAGTCTGCGGCCGAAAATATTGTTTTGTATAACTATTTAGTCTGTTCGACTACTAGAGCTGGATTGCACAAAGAGCTAAAATCCGCTTTAAAGGCTCCTTAATTTTTGAAAAAGCTTTGACGGTCAATCAGCCCTTCTATGCTAACCAAGACTATACGTCGTACAGACGAACCGAACAAAAAAACGTTTTAGCGACACTAATCAAGGTCAGGATCCTCTGTGCCGGGAAAGTTGTGAAAAGCGCAAAACGTGATTGGAGGTGTTGGCCTTGCAGATTATCATCTTTACGCGGACATTTTTATCGTTCCCAGCCTCCATCAGTGCTTTAACTTGAAGAAACGTAATAGACATAGATAAGCAAGCCAGTACATACAAAAGCGGACGGACGGGCAGACTGCCAGCTCATCTGCATCTGGCTGGTGCCGTGCTATTGTAGCAAGTCGGTCAAACAATGGCATTCCTTAGCCGCAGGTTTCAATGCTGCTAATCGAGAATACTAAATGGAAGGATCATTTTCACTGAAAGACTTACTCCCCCCCGCCCCGTGCCAAGCCCACGGTGGCATCTTTGCAGTTGGGTGACTGGCATGCGAAAAGAGAGCTAATTAGAATGTTAGAATGATGTAGTCATTGCTTCTTGTTCCCCACAGTAGTTCGAGACAACAGACGTATCGCTTTCGCCCTTCGTATCACTTTCTCGGGGCCGAAAGCTGATTGAAACATATGTTTTCAACATAGACGTGACGGTGTAAACGTATTGTGGCATCGTTTGACGTAAGTTTCATGACCATAACAGACGCAATCTACGCTAAAGCTCAAAAGGTTTAGCAGTCATCGGGCACAGTGCGCTCGGCGGCGAGCGTCCTACAGATCTCAAAAGTTGACGCTCGTTTGTTAGCCTGTTGTTTCTGCTGCTTCGGCCATTAGGGCATGCAACGTAGCGAGGATAAAGATTTTATCATTTTGTACAACGCGCTTAGTGTATCCATGTCAGCGAAACGTAACTCGATGTTGAAACGACAGTAGAGATTCTGTGGGAAGAAGAAGAACCGAAGGCTAAACAATGGGGTACGTCTTAAGGGAGATCCAATAGTGTAATGCTTACTCGACCACTACATGAGGAAGTAGACACATGTCTCGTTAGAAATCTCGGGTCGATGAACGCCTTACGGACATGGGTCGATGACAACATCCCCACTTCCGGCAAAGTTAAAACTGCTATTCCTCACTTTCCATTCGGATGGACGATTGCACAAATTTGATTTGATGTCCTGTCTTTGATACTAATGTTAAATAGGTCACTGCTGCTTAATTAGGATTTCGAATGCGGATAAAGCTCGTTTCATAAAATAGCAGAAAGTGATGATAAATTATTTAGCATAAAAGGGGGACAGAGGGAATTTTACCCGCACCATGAGTGCTGCTCTATGCCATATCCGTAAATGGTCGTTTATTTTATAAGAAACTTTTAAGCGAGTTACGCATCGGGTGGTGCGCTTTGATATCTACAAAATACTTTCGCTTGATAATTGACGTTTGTTATCGCAAGTAACGAATCGCAAAAAAAGCTAAAAAAGCGCCTAAACTAAGTAACGCGGCCATTTTCTAGCAACTAATTGTCTCGTTTGATTTTTTATAACATTCACATGGTTTCTAATTATAGATCTCTGTATTTTGTCTCTGCCTTACATCAGAGTTCTACTACGCTACGAGTGCATAACAGTTCGTTAATGGAAAATTTGGCTATAAAATAATTGTTATCATGAGAAAGTTCCGCGACGATTACAACTTTGCTTCTAGGAAGACGGCAATACTGATGTAGCAAGACTAAATACTATAAATGTTTAAGTTGAAGTAACTGCATTTTATTTTTTTTCCGTCTGGTTAAGTTTGTTGTAGTTGTTGCATATATAGTCCTAGAATCACGTGTTTTTCCGCTTTTCGTCAGATTGGCACCGTACACAAGTTCAATATATCCATTGTATATTTTGACAGTATACTGTTGGAAACATCGAAGAATTGTTTAGTTGCTTCATTGGCTACGCTGTTGCTCATTCAGATGATTCATATTAAAAAAGAAAAACGTCATTTAGCGATAAATCTTTTTATCAATAGTAAAAATTTTAACTAAATTTCACTTCAGGACACATCTAGGTAAAGCGTCACAAAAAAAAACACGTTTTTTGGCGTAATGCTTTATTTTAATGTTCTTTTCTTAAATTAAAAAATAATTTTTTTCCGAAAAACAAATGTATGTTTCTCTTTTTTTTTCACCTTTGTTTTATCTATGCGTCTCATCATAAATAGTCTATGGATCGAACTTCTCTTGATTACAAATAAAAAACATATACTGCCTGCTAACACGGGTTCCCATAAGCGTCTATATGAATAATTATGTGACACAATAAGTTATATTTGAACCGTCGCTGGGATGAGGGTCTAAAGTTACAATGCACATTATACATTTTGGCGCCTTTCCTCCAACATGTTACATGTTCAAGAAATACCACTGTACCGGCAATCGCAGAGTCGATTCAATCATTATTGCTTATGATATTTCTCCTATTTGGGTTACCTCTGCAACGGTTGCCTCCGAAAAAACCTACGGTAAATACCGTAGCTGAACAACTTTATAATACAATTGGATTTACATGAGAATATTGCTAACTCAATATTGATCTCCCTATTACGATTGACGAAAATCCATTACGCCACTAAATACGAAGTAACCATAGAAAAGCTATGATGCAGACATTGGTTATTGTTTGGTAGGAGACTGGGTCGGGTCAAAGTCAAGAAAGTTCTACTAGTTACTGAATAGCTGCAAGTCGTATAGTCATTTCAAATTGAAGGGTTTGTCAGTTAAAATGTGCCATTTCGTATGTACATGCACATCATGTAACGCCTAAATAGATTGCAGAAGGTATTAGCACAGAGCAACTTCCATTAGCTATACGAGGTGTACAGTGTGACACAATAATAGAATAGAAACAACAGTTGTTTACCGGAAGCGTGGATAAATCACCTTCCGAACGGTTTCTGAGAGGTTTTTTTAACCTTAAAAAAAAAAAAACTATGAATTATAGTCAATTCGTGCCTTAGCCAAAACGGTGAGTGAATTACACAAGCAGTAATTACATTGAATTAACTTTATGTTTAAAATGACAGCGATGAAATTGAAAAAAACAAGTTCTTGTTATCGAATCGTACCATAGATAAGCTAGTAAACAAGATTTTTCTCGAGTGTCTGAGAGACTATTGGTACTCTTCTTAGAGCTATCTATATTGTAGCATTTGCCAGAGACTCATTCACTCTGAGTAAGGCAATTTAGAAGAACTGCCGCGATCTTCATGATCACTGGCCTAAATATTATTATTTCGTGTTTCCGTGCATATACGATAGAACGTGTAGTGTCCTTAATCACGTAAGGACAGTGCGAATGTGAAATTTAGCTGTTAAAATGAGAGGAAAACGAGTCTCTTATGCAAACTAAAGTTCACACAGAGGCTTTCCCATGGGCTCTGACCATTGACCTCGATGGTCGTATCTATCGATAATGTGTATCGTACGTGGCTTTTGATTACCATTTTGGCCATTCAAAATAGTCGCGTGCCTGATGAACTTTTTTTTTTGTAATCTCAATGAGGCAATGAACATCTAAAACATTATTCCTTAATGAAATAAAGAACCGAACTTTTTGCTGCGAGACAAAATGTCTGATTCTAGAGAAAGAACAAAAAAAAACAAAAACAGTCCGTTACAAAACTACGAGTCCGAAAATGCGAGCCACGTTTTGAAAAGTCCATTAACCGCTCGGACGAAAGCCGCAAGCTCATGAAGCTAGGAAATGAAGTCGATTCATCCTTTCATTGTTCTTTTGAATCGACACAACGATTAAATAGAGAAACATTGACGGTACACGAAGCATGACGATTGCTTGAGCGATTGGCCGTGTTACCACTTATAGGGACATCCACTATGACAGATGCAGAAAACCGTCGATCTCATTGAGCCTTCCACAAACAGTCACCACAGGATTGCCATAAGAATCACCTTAGGTATGTATAGGCTGCCTTAACCTAACCTTCTCCCATACCCTGAGTAACGGACTGAAGGCAGATGTCTCTCCTTCCATTTGTTTTTGCTGCCTTAAATTTGTTAGGGGTGTCCTCTGCTGAAGCATTTTATTAGACCAATATAACTTAGTAAGTTTTGTGCAGTTGTACCTTGTGCAAGCGAATAGTTCACCATTCATCAGTCATATAACTGATCATGGCTGAACTTGTACTGATGCTTCGTTTTCTGATTATTCCTTTGCGAGCCCTTAATTTGATGTCCGCGGCAGCTTACCTATCCAAGAATTCATTAAAGATTAGAGTTGGAATAATGTTGCCTATACATCGTAAAAACCAATTTTTTTGTCGATAAAAAAATCAGTGAGGACAGGCCAAAGAAACTTCAGACCGCAATCGTATATGTAGCGTTTCCCAACGACTCACAGAAAGTAATATGTTCCTTCAACATGCAGCTTTGCCTTCGCTGCGCGTTCACGTTTCACTTTAGCGCTGGCATAATCATTCACATTATTTTCGAGTCATATTTTCTTACATCTCATTGCACCAGGTTGGTATAACATTCAATAATAACTGTACGTCTGAGCCTCTCCTACTGCACACTTGGATGACTGGGTCGCCTTTTCACTGGCCGTCGTATACTCCACCAGCTCCGTCTTCGTTGAGTCTTGTTGCCAGCTGTATCCGACGCAGTCTTATCAGGCGCTGTATCTTAATTCATCTGTCGGCAGTTCAGTTTGAGGGCACCGTTTGGTCCGGATCAAGCATCAACGCTACTTCGGGCGGGGGCGACTCAAGCAAAACTTCGACGTGCGGCTGCCGAATACCGCGCTCATCAGCGACGACGACAGTGGGTAGCTGGTGGCTACCTGCGCCGTTCACCACCGGCGGTGTCATATCGTTCGCGACGGAAAACATCGGTACACACATTACTGGCACAGTTCCAGAGCTGTTGGGCACGTTCAGTGATGTAGCAGAATGTGCCGGCGTTGACTGAGCCAACAAAGGCTGGCGAGTTGGCGAAGCTTGACTCACACGCCGCCTCTGGTAGGTCACAGCTGCACTCGTGTAGACGTTGCTAAAGTGAGTGGGGCTATGATGGTGCTGTTGTACTGCTGCTGCGGCGACGAGGAGTTGTTGTTGCTGGTGATTGTTGTAGATGCTGTGGTGACTGTTGTTAGCTGGCGAATTGTTGGCCTGCCAGGTCGAGTGACTAGACGTGATGGAAGTGTGCGTCGTCTAATCCTCCACGTGAGCGAGGAGCCGCAAATGACGGGCGACGTCCTTGCACTTAAGGATCACCTAAGGTTAAGTTAATGTGAGTATCAGTGAGGCTTCATCCAACTCGTTAGAACCAAGATATTATTGAGAATATTTTAAACTTTCGCTTCTAACAGATTCCTAGAATTCTTTTTGAAACCAGGACCTAGAAACATGCTAGCCAGTGGAAGTAACACAGGGTTGAAGGAATAGCAAACGTTTCTCAGTATAATGTCACGAAGCGTGCGTTTTGCATGGTAAATTACCTCCTCTTGGACGAGATTAAACGACATAGCGATTATGGCGAGCCCAAGGATAAGGTAAAGACAACAGATGATCAATTTTGCCTGAGCGTCCTTATCCTGTGTGAGATAGCGAAGAAGAGACAAAATAAAAGGATTCATGAAAAACATTTGTTTGATACAGTAAAATTTGCTCCAATATCAAAACATTACATGGCCCTACTTGATTAGCTTACATTTTGTAGGAAGAGCTAAGATCCTGCGTCAACTTAAAAAGCTCATGCTACCAATTATATAGTTTATAAGAGAGAAATTTGTCTTGCGTTTATAAGTATTCTTCCTTCTTTTTGTTACGCCTTGATATGATGGTCCTCGGTAGATGAAAGTCCTTGTTTGTCAAGGGTAGCACAACATGATTTCCTCAAAGGGACATAGCTATCAGCACTACGGACAGCGGGTACGACTTTGGAATGTCTTGACGGCCAAAATTAAAGGCACAATTAAATTTTTCAATAAAATTGAACAAGACATGAATTGCGTTTGATCCAGTTGATCATGGTTAGTGACGTTCATCAAATATACCCGACAGCTGCTTAATCAGATGCAAGCAGCCTATATCTATAATACATTCATCTCATCTGGCGAACAAAGCTCGCACGTAGTACTCATTGTTGGCTGGAAAAACTCAACAGTCGACATTTACCGACTTCGGTTAGTTTATACCACTTATAATTAGGTTTGTAGTGGTAGTGGCTGTCAGCGGTGACGATGAATGGACGGCTACAATGTTTCACTCTGTTAGTTACTATGGAAAAAAAACGGGTCATCCATTTTCGTGCTTTCCGTGGCACGCCGTTGATTAATTATAATGGAAAGGACAAAGTGATCAATGCACGTAAGGTATTCGTTGCGTGCTTAAAGAGAAATGCATCCATAAAGCAATGCGATTTCATATACGATAGGTGCATATTATTCGCGTAATCTGCATAACAACCTTCGTGAATCATACTAATAAAGAAAATAGAATTTATACGCATACGAAGGAGATGACCATGTTATGCTATTGGCTAAACGACACAGTATGGCAGGCCAAACTTATAAGGACAACTTTCGAACGCAACTTATAGAGCTTATGTTGATCCTCTAGCTGAAAATTTTTCTAGTCCTTTCGACGAAGAGGATTATCCGCTGCACGAGTGGCTGAACAAGGAAATGCAATATAAATACAGTCCATGTACTTGTCTTGGTGAGACCGCTATATTATAAATGGCTATGACGAAACCTTAGCACAGAAGAGGTCACACTTTCCACAGTGATACCTTTTATTCGACTACCTAAATGAACATTCTGGAAGATAGTCGGACACTCTAAACCGTAAATTCCCTATTTTGGTTTTTATTATACCACTTTACTCTCCGGGCTCCGACCACAATATAATGCACGGTGTTTCATTCAACGGCAGCCACCTAAAAGCGGTCAATTTGTGTCTGCATCATATCCACTATGAGCCTCCACAGCTTTCGTTTCGCTAAGCCGTTTATCTATTTATTTGCTAGGATATCGAACACAAAGGGAAGTTTAGAAATTTTTAGAGAAGTTTCGAAGTTTTTAACCTCTGCTGAAAGATTTTTTAAAACTTGTGCGCTTACCGTATAGCGTATATGAACTGAAATTAGATGTTTAACGGATATATGCTATATCATTTGTTTCGACAAATCGGTTTAAGCGAATACTATTACTTATGAAGTGCTGCTAATCTTCTTAGCTCAAAGGTGTCAATGCCACAAAGGTGTCTGTTGATGATATACTTCATAAAAATATTGTCAGTTGACGCCCCTAGTTATGGAGCATATTTTAAAACGTAAAAAATAAAGACCTTTCGGTTAAAAGTCGGAGCCATATTTAAAAGAAATTCAATAAACTAAGATTAGCAAACTATTGTTTTTTTTTTTTAATTAGCTGAGAATGAAGAAATCTCTGCGCGACAAAAGCGAAGCCTAAATCAAACATCTAGTGTATCAGTAGTCAGCTGATTATTTAGAGATCGTTTAGTTATCGTACCCGTACGTTAGAAACATCTGAATGGATCATACATATACGCAGGTCCTAAACACACTCGATATAAGTATCGAAAGAGCTTATAAATCGTTTGCGTGAGTGTATAAAATACTTAAATATTTGGCTGTAAAAACATATGTCGCCAAAGATCCGAACCCTTACCTGCATGGCGTTATTCGTTGGATCGAATCCAAAAGTGCTTTGTCCAGGTACAAAATCTCCAAAACCGATAGTGCTGAGAGTTATGAAGCAGAAATAGGCACCATCGAGTAGACGCCAGCCCTCCCAGCCCGAAAAGATCAGGGCCCCCACACAGATATAGGACGCTACAAAAAGCATCACAAGATAGACTGGAATACGGGGTGGCGATGCTGGATTTGGGCCGTTTGGAGAGCTCCTGTAAATTTTTCAGGAGAAACGCAGCGGTAATAGAGTAACACAAAGGCTAATGTAGGTGATCTACGATTTCGTAGTTAATAAGATTTCGGCCTACCTGTGATCGCATGCGAAGTATCACGGTGTCATTGAATACCATCAAGTAATCAATTGGCGTCATTTAAAATTGTTTCCGAATCTCTACACTGTTTGTTAGGGCGACATTTTGATAAGGACGTTGTAACTTCAAAAGTTAATGAAACGTTATGTCTATGGATAGATGCAACAATCGTCCACATTATGCAATGTTAAGAAAATGAATCCAAATATTACTACCTCATATATATTCAGTGTTTTTGGTTGCCACGTATACTTAATATAGAATTGCCCATCCCATCACTCCGTGGCGTCTACCGCATGGCGGCAAGCCAAAGATGAATTTTTTAGCAATGAAAGCCTGCATTATATAGTCTCACATTGACTCGACACACGTGAAAACGATTCTTTATAGATAAAGGATATATTTATTAGGTCCTTCAGGCAGATTACTCTAATCCAACGAAATGCTTAAGGTACCGTGTGACAGGCCGCAAATAAAAAATAAATCATCAACGTACTAGAAATTAAACTTTTTTTCCAGTGCTGATGCTCGAACTATTAGGATCTGCCTTTATCAATTTAAATTTTAATAATTTAATAATTAAATAAGTGATCACTGTAAATAATAACAAAATAACATAAACCACTGAATAATTAGTATCTAAATTCGCACGATTCCGCTAACTATTGCGCCCTGTGGACAGATCCGTGAGTTCTTCCGCGACCCTGTTTTACCGTTCATTTAACTAATTCCACTTCTTAGCATTACACCCACTTGTATATAAGGTATAAGCTAAACCCCGTTGCCATTACTTTGGCTCTCCTGGATAGTTGCCTTTTTGCAGTTATTTCTGCAGCGTGTCCTAATAGATTCATCATGAAGCTTAATCAACTCTAGATTTGTTTCGCTCGTCATATATAAACTTTTGGCATGGTTTCGGGCTTGGCTGCCGGCCAAGCTGTGAGAAACGTGAAACGAGTAACATTCAGCCTATTTTTTAATAAACGTTGCGATTAATAGTTGACGAGAAAGTTCATCGATGACAGGAGGTTCAGAGGACTGATAAATTGTAGACTTCGTTCAGTGCCGTCTTACGGATCCATTAGTCATTCAAGCTGATAAAGGGCAAAATTCGAAACGAAGTTCAACTGTAACACCGTTCTTGTTACATAGTTTCCGTATAGATATTCACACTGAGTCGATAGTGGGGCAAGCTCTTTTCAGGACGAAGCTACAGAGATCCTTAAAAAGTCGGCCCGATCCGTTGAGACGGTAATCGTGGGTCTGGGCGAAAACCGTTTCCGTCGTCCCGTAAAAAGCAAATCGCATACACGTAACGGAGCAGAACTGCATTCATCCTATCTTTACTGGGCGACAATTAATTACAAGAGGTTTTACGAACAGCCAGTCTTCTTCGTTGTGACAGTATAAGTAGAAATGGATCAGTATAAAGAAACGCATGTACAGACACTATACAGTTGCTTATAAGCCCCTGCACGCACACACGTTTATTTTTTTACGCGGCTATTATCTTCGTACACTCAACAATAATTAGCTAAGATGCTTTAGGATATAGCTTATTTTTTAAAGTTGCTCGCGTTAAATGAACAGTCAACTTATAACTTTTCAGAGTTAAGTCCCCTGATTTTGTAAGAGTAACTGCAGATTGTTTTTTGCAACGTGAATTCTAACAGGATACAAAGTATGATACATATCGATGATTGATATACGGAATTTTTTCGCTACGAATATTCATAGAGCATTAATAGATTACGCTCTAAGCTATTTAGCTAGCACTTTGGCAGGTGTCACTCGTAACTTTGCCTTTCTACCTGAAATCATTTTCTGTTATTTACGCAAAAACATGTATACTTTTAAAAAGAGATGTTTTGACACTTTTGCAACTTACCACGAATAGACATATAAAATGTAATAGAAATTCTTATCTACCCTTAATGGTCACTTACTTCATTATATCGATTAAGAGCATGATTTCAACAGCCCAGACTCTGTTGTTGGTCTTCTTAATAATAATTCCATTAGATTCATCTTGTTCTTGCTTCCAAACATAAATATGTAGTACGATGTAATAAACGCATTACAAGCAGCTGAGTGCAAGGGTTATTTCAAGAAAAATTTTGCCTGTCGCATAAATTCGATCTTAATCGGTGAGGGGTGCTAGCATATCAGTCGTTCAAAGTCGTTTATCGATTATTTTACGTCTAGTATCACCGTTGACATTACCAGCACGCTTCTCGGGTCGAACCTTGGCCACAACAAGTCCCTAGACTCAGCAGGTAAATACGCTAACTACATGGGTATGATTAACCTGAATATACCTAGGAACACCCCAATGGTCTAGTCCAGATTTTTTTACCATATAGAAACATAGAAAACGATTCATTAGAGAAACGGCTAGATGGCAAGCTCCAATACCCAATCAATCCAATTTTTTTAATACATAGATAATAAAATAAGCCTGCCATTAACCGCAAAATGTTTGCATCTAGCCGTACATTCTAGTAGTTTAATTCTGTCGACACATACGCCCAAGTAGATGCCTACGCCGTTCTCCAACCTTAGCATTTTTATTGCTTGATGTGGATATGAGAAAATGTACCAACGACTCGATTGACAATTTAGAGCTTCAGGCACAAGGCTTCTTTGGGACAAGTAAATCGGATTGGGGTCAAGCGGCCGGTTTCTTTCTGCATCGCAAGCGAATCTGACTTTGCTGCGTCAAGGCCGAGCCCTTAGAGTTTGTCCAACTTCGAACAGCGAGATCAGCAGAGGATGGACGAACAACCAAGCCGTCTTCCTTTGAGATAGGTGTTTGCATCAATTCACATTGTTTTTGCTTAGTTTCCATTTTCTTCGGTCAGCTTCAGGATATTAAACAGAACTTCGTCTGGACATCGCACATACTGCACAGTTCTAAGCCACAAGACGATGCACATGTAGAACTTTTTTCGTTAAAATGGAACCTTACATAGACAATTGGTACACTTGTTCTCAACTATAGTCGAGTAGCCTTGCGTGAACTTGACTTCTTAAATTTCGATGTGTAAACATTACGTACAAAGTATTTGACATCTGTTTGTTACCAAGCCCAAAGGATTCAAGCGAGAGTGGCAAGCCCTTGTTCACCCTGGCAATGCACAGCCGTCCACAGAAAAGACTTTATCAACTAATTGAAGATACCCCCACTTGGGAAAAGAAGTTCTAGGAAGACAAACTAGATCGCATGAAGACGGCAATGGATGAATCTGTTTTTGACAGTCTCATCCACAAGGCTGTCGTTGCAGTCGTTTCTACATTTGTCTCTACTGCCTACAAAGGTCCAAAAGCTGTACAAAGGTAATACCAGTAACAGAGACGGATGATACGATGAGGTCGCGAGTAGGAACACAGACGTAATGGGCTGACGCACCGCTACGTTGTCCAATTAGACGTACACAGTTACCCGGGACTCGAAAAGAACACCGTTCAGTCGAGAATTGCCCGTCCGGAAATCCAGGATTCCGTTTTAGGTAAACTATCGTCCCGGTTCGAGGAATTACGGCTGAGTTTGACGCTTCTTATCGCTGACCGCTCGCGCTCCCGTGCTCAGTAACAATAGACCTTACTTTGCTCTATCAAATTGACTGTATAACCTATAAGTGACTCTAAGTAGGCAGTCAGTATATATAAAATCAAATAGGCGGATAGATTATAACTTGAGAGATGTACGGCATGTGAGTTTTGTCCATGAAAATGTCAATTGTTAGCAATAGAACTTGGCAACTTGTAGTAATCAAAAATCGTACGGTTAGGCAAATACTAATCACAGTTGATTACGTTTATTTGGATAATCGACACTTATTACGTTACCTAGTATTTGTCGCGAAAATTAACGTTTTTGAACATCCTGGCCTCGGGACCTGGAACATCGATAGCCTGGCCAAAAGACATCTTTGTGCAAATATTTTGGCCTACTAACTGTATTCCTACATTGCATTTCTACCGGCTAAAATATACATAACAGGGAAAATCAGCATTAATTATACAACCTATAAATTCTATCTGTATACCAAAAAAATATTGTGTCTATACATACATATTGTGAATATGAATCTAATATTAACAGAGGCTATACTTAAACGTACCTGTTTCGAACACATGATTGTTACAAGTATATGAGATCCCTTTACTATTTATACTTCGTATAGATGGACTCCAAAGAAGACTTGCGGAGGAAACTCGTAGGCTTCTTAAGGCAAAAGTACTTACAAGACCCAAGTTTGTTCACTAAACATGTAACTCTGCTCTTGCAGGTTAATGACCTGCTACCAAATAGAATTTGACCCTAAGTAGCACGAAAAATGGGCATTAATTTGTTATTCTTTACGTTTTATCAACTGAAACCGGAATTGATATGTCCAACAAGGTTTTCGCGCAACCCATTCATATAGACTACATATATTGATCAAACCACTATCATTCTCTGAACACGTTTAGATCACTGGGTTGTTTTTTTTGTCACTTTTATTGTTTTTGTAATTAAATCATGCAAAGAAATACAGCTGTAAGTCAATTAGTCAGCGTACGACTGTTAAGGGCGCCAAAGAGTCAATCAGGACGACCGACGGCCAGTGTTGCCTTGCAGGTGACTTTATCTATCGTTTTCCCACAGCCACAGTGAATTGGCGGAGCCATCACTGTCAACTGTCTGTTAGCACAAGCTGGCTTCTGTCACGCGACCATTTGGGCGCCGGCTAAATATGGCTCGTAGGCATCTGGCCGTACCCGCAAGAAAAGGGAACATCGTAAACGGAGAACCCATCAGCGAAATCCTAGTTTAGCTTCTCGTCTTGGTGCTTAACTTAGAAATTTGTCTGCATGCTCTTATGGTATGACGCGGAACATTTTATCGGCTATCAGAT